GGGCTCACTTGGACAATTTCTGGTCATTTTACTCCGAAGCAACTAACTCAGTCATTTTCATTCTCACATTCAGTCCTGGGAAATTTCAGGAAAATGTCCAGACTTCAGTGTAGCTTTATTCAGATTCTGGAAAAGTTGCAGTCACAGTTTTGTTTTGTTCCCTCTCATCCTCGATATGCAAACGTCTTTGCGTTCCAACAAACAGCCCCTTCAGATAATTTCAGGAAAATGTCCAGACTTCAGTGCACGTCTCACAGCAGCCACACAGAATTGATTTTATCAACCACCCCAAAGCAGATTCGGGTTTTTTCTCGTCCTGCAGTTAAAATAAATCTATGTTTCTCAGAAGAGATGACGGCAGATCTGTATCGAGTTCCTTTAAAATGCTTTTAATAATCACGTTAGTGTGTGTTTACATTCTGCCTTTTACAGTGACTGGACCAGGTCCTGTGGAAAGTTTCAGGGCATCTGCTTAGCAGAGGCTCCGCACTCCTCCCTCCCTCCCTCCCTCCCTCCCTCCAGGGTCTTCAGCCCCCAAATCCAGAGCAGGGGGGGTCCTGAACAGGAAGCTTAGGAGCTGGAGGGAGGGGGAGCTCCGGATCAAAGCGAGAGGACACAGAAAAGGCTTATCTGTTGTTGATTTTAGGCTTAATGCTCAAGCACTGGGTTCTGGAGATGTGTCAGGGAAATACAGCGCTGGATCGTTGCATCTCGGCCTTTGTTCCTCCAGGTTGTTGAAGGTCGGGTTCTTGTACAGTTGTGACGCTGCTTTAAAAGAGAAAGCAACAAGAGAGAGGAGATAAGAGAAAAAAAAAAGACGGGATTAAGAGATGAAATGAAAACAAACGCAGCTAATGCGACAGAGAGAGAAAACTTCCAAACTACCAACCAGGACTGTTTCCTCTGTGGCTGCGAGTTTGCTTCCTCACAGACTTCAATCCTTTCCTTTCCCACTCTGCTTGCTCTTTAACATTTCAATTTCAAACTCTGCAAGAGGTGCGATTCCATCTCCTCCTCCTTCAATGGCAGCTTTATGCCAGAGGGGAAATTGGACCTTGAGGGCAGCCACTTTCCCTGTTGTAGATCTTATTAAGTACATCCCTCCATAATACGACCCAGCTTGACTCTCCCCAGACCACACCTTTTCATAGAAGCGAACCTGTCAATCACGGCCCCGCGGGTCGGACTCCGGCGTCGTCAGCTCGTGGCTGTGATTGGCACCTCCCAGGACTGTGTGCATTCTCTGAGGGAGTACACAGAAATTGCTGGTGCGCCACCGGGAGAAATTCTTTTCCACATCGCCGCCCTGCCAGAGTGTTGTGTGTGCATGTGTGAAGCTGCTGAGGTCTGAAGGCTGCTATTTGCCTCACGAAGCAGTTTGAGTGCGGAGATGTTGACCATTAGAGCCGTAGCACGCAGATACGCAATCCTGCTCACCATCCTGTGGAACAGATACAACGCTTCACTGGTTTTCCAAACTCTCCCTCTGTGGACCCAAATTTCCAAAGTAATTTTCCTTGCAACCCAAAATTGTTGTTGTAGACTACTGTGCAGGTCGCTCTAATCTCTGCAGCCTCCAGAGCAGTAAATCAGCAGCAGATAAAAGGTTTCTCTCTGACTTCCTGACGGAGCCGGACCTCTGGAACGTTTGGCACCGGAATAAAATAATTTCCTCCGTCGTATTCTGACTCAACAACAGGATTCCTGATTGTTTCTTTTTCCTTTACTGAGGTGACCTGTGTTTCCCATTTGTAACATCAGAAGTGACTGGAGAGAATAAAGAACACAAAACACTAAATCTTTTAATTTAATTTGTTGTTGTTGTGAACACGTCTGAGCAGAGACTCTCCTGCTGCGTTGTTCGTGTGTAAAAGGTGACCTCGTCTGGGCGCAATCCTCCAGAGGTCACGTCTGAGTGTGTTCAGAGGTCGTCCTGTTTTATTGTGTCTGAACATTTGTTTCCAGCGTGGCAGGCGACAGATTTGCTGTTTGGTGATGTCATATCCTGGGTGCCGTGACGATGGTTGTTCGCTGAAACGTGAATTCCCGCTCGCCCCCTCGGCTCCGACAGCCCTGCGGAGCAGATGGAAAAACTAGCTGTCACGCGGGGGCCTATAGCTTTTCGTCTGCATCTGTTCCAGGGCCCTGCTCGTGGAGACGGCCAGCTGTGGAGGCCATGTGAGAAGTTGAAAGGAAACTTCAGCCGCCCGGCGAATCTCACACCCTTATGAATCAAAAGAGGAACACTTCGGTCGAACAAAAGGAAAGCGGGAGAGGAAGAGAGAGGGTGAACGAAAAAGTGAAACCAGCTGTCTGGAAGTGCCCCGTCTTTTACGACGCGGCACCGGCGCATGCTCATAACCTCGTTCAAGTCTGGCCACAATCAAACGCTCAATTTGTCTTTACAGGAATATCGGAGATGTTCAGCCAAGGTCGATCTTTGAGAAGTGAGGGGGGGGGGGTTGTTCAGCTGCCCTGGAGTATTTGTGCCTTTAAAATATATATGAGGTGTAGCGAGTGTAGACAACAAAGGCCCCCTCTAATTCTTTCCTTTCCTGAGGGGGTGAAGAACGCTCTGCGCCCACATCAAGCCGCACCCCCACCATGATGTACAGGTGCAACTTTAAAAGAGCTCTCACTGAGGGCGCGACGCCTGCAGCAAAAAAAAAAAAAAAAGTCCGCCATGTCTCTCCCTGAGGTTTTCTTTCTTTCAGCAGCTCTTTTGTCTCATGATCATTTTATTATCCCGGACATATTTGTTTGAATTTCGATACCGAGGCACTTTGACTCTGACAAACTGAGTTTCTGTTGCATGACGATGATTGAGGAGCTGCACTTTTAATCTGAAGCTTGGACGTAGCTAAAGAAAACAAAAGTGACTGATCAACATATAAACTATATCGTTGTGTTTCTGCAGCTCTTCTAACAAAAGGAGACACACTTGGATTCTCGATTCAAATCCAGATGTATGCGTCATGTCCTTCTCCCCAAGTTCCAGACATTTTCTGCCTTTATCTGAATGAACTTCACTCACAGGTTAAGATTCTGAGAGGCTCAAACGTCAAGCACATCTGTCTTCTCCTGCAAACGCTCCTCAGCTTCTCCCTCACGTCTGCGGACGTGCAGGCCGATGATGTCACCCGTGCTGCTCTCAACTATTCTTTGGACTTTACGACTTTTCCCTCAGCGGTCTGTGATTCCGGGCCACAGATAACAAAGTTGTCAGGATGCCATTGAAACGGCAATAAATCGCCGTGATTGGGTGAAATTGTTACTTGTCATGCTAAAGGTTGCTGCACTCCTCTGACTCTGCAGCAGACGATTGATCTAGTTTTGACCTGAGTGGGTCTATAAAGCAGATAAGATCAAATCTGGCATCCTCAGGAAGTTCACTGTAAGAGTTTACAGCCCCTAAAAGTGAATAGCAAACTTGCAGAGGTCACGGACTGAACTACAGTTTGGCTACAAATCTGTGATAATGTGTATTTTTAGCCTGACAGGATGACTTCATCAGGAAAGGAGGTGTCGGTGTAATTGCATAATGTACCGCTGTATATTTATCGAAGGCTTTGCACCTGGAGTTGACGTTTTTCTGCCACTTCTGATGAGGTTTTATTTATTTTTCCTTTAAAACTCACTTATTTTTCCTTTCATAGTCGTCGGCTTCCCTCCCTGATTGTACAGTTAACAAATGCAATGACACCTTCAGCCTTGAATGTTAATGAGACGGGCTAATCAACGGTCAGCTATTATCTGAGCCGAGGTCGCGCTCCCTGCAGAGGAAGTGCAGCGCTATCATCAATCTGCTGAGGGAGGCCTGCATGAGAAAGGAGCTGGAGGTCGTGGGCGGGGTTAAAAGTTTAGTGCACTGTAGGTGCCCAACAGTACATTCAATACCTCCACGCCCCGCCGCCGCCACCATCTACATGTCAATGGGCCCCGCTTGTTGACTTGATATGTTCCACTTCCACAGAAGCCTCTCGTAACTTTGTCGTCGTTCATCATTTCGTCTTTGACAACCCCCCCTCCCCCCCCTCACTCCTTTTAGGCCCCGACCAACTTGGCCGTCTGATTCAGGAGGGAGGAGTGGCTGATGTAAGGGGGGGTGGGGGGGTGGGGTGGTTGGGGTGAGACACATTGAGTTTGCCAAGTCAGGCAGAACGATCGACAGGAAGCCGGGCAGGAAGGAAGACGAGCCTCTCCCCATGAAGTGCCATTGTTTATGTGACGTGACTTGAAGTGGCCAAAAGTGACTGGTGGTGGGCTCCTCCGCCGCAGTGACCCACTTCTCAGAGTGAAGCAGACGGAGGAGGGAAAAAACAAAAGACCAGCTCCACTTTTAATGCTTTAAACGTTACAGTGCAAACTCTGCTGCCGTCGCTCAGAGGAGAGAGGAAGTTATATACATGATATGAGTTTTCTGCACACGTGAAGCGTATGTTTGCAAAAGAAGGGTGAAAAGATTTATAATTTTTTATGACCTGGGTTCGTGTCTCGTGTCCTAAGTGTAGCTCTGGTTTGGCCACTGAAACATTGTCTTATTGTCAAGTCTTATCATAAGATTCCTGTTGTTCAGATTTGAATGATCCTTTACCAAAGAAACATAAACCTAAAGATGTAAATGCCAAGAAAACAAAAAGCTGACCCTGATTTATTTTTTGCATTAATAACAAAAAAAAACATTATAATAATAAATGTTTATGTTTGCATTTCAATATATTCTACTACATTGCAATGAATATAACACGTCATGTACATATAACAGATAAATAATGTACTTCAGCACTTAAAATAAATACATAAATAAAAAAGTATTGGAATTGGGATCGAAGTAAAAAAAATGTTAACTACTTAATTTTCGCCTAAAAAGCTCCATGAAATGAATGATTGTAAAACTGTCTCCCTGCTCATTAAATATGATCGTGCACAAACTTAAAGAATAAAGTTCAGACTCCAAATCAAACAGCACTGACTTCCCCAAGTTATGTCCCGCCCCAGGAAACAGGAAACGCATCACATCCAGGAAGTGAGATCCATCTCACCTGTGACTGGCACCAAACATTTCGATCTGCTCACCAACGTGTTCCTGAAGCTTCTGAGACTCGAGTTGTTTCTGGTTCACAAAAGAAGTTGTAATATGTTGGTGTGAAGTTTACGAGCTTCTCTCTTTGGTCGAACATTCATTCAGCAGCAGTTTCACCTGATGGAGATTTTAAAACGTTCAACGAGCCTGAGGTGAGTTTCACTGATTGTTTGAAGGTTTTGACTGATGATCTCAGTGAAAGCAGCTCAACTCTAAAGGAATATTACTAAATACTGTGTATGTGTGGTTTATATTCTTACATCCACATTGTTTTGTTTCTTTATCTGTATTTATTCATTTCATTTATCGTCATGTAGGTGTTACGATGTACAAGGGATTTGGTGTTTGATGCAAATATATTAGAACAAATAGGAGGAAAAGATAAAGCAACTTAAGAAGCAAGTACCGAAACATAAAACCATATAATAACATAAAGTATTTAAAATAAAGTTCATGTAAAATGAGCTAAACAGCTTTTTTTTACACTTGTTGTCCCAAATAAAAACAAACAGAGCGATAAACTGTCATTTAACAAGAGCAATAAGAATAAAGTCCAGTTTCTGTCTGTCCGTGTTCTGCAGGTTCTGGGAGGGTGAGCCGGTTCACCTGAATCTCCACCTGCACCACAGTGAAAAACTCCCCTCGTCTCCATCTGCTCACCAGTCCACCCCTGGAACGCTTCTCTGGCCCCGTCGAGCTCTTGGCCTCGTCCCACCCGACTGAAGATCAGCCAGATAACGTTATCTCCCGACCAATCGGACGCCTGGATCCATACCTCATCCCTCAGGTAGGCTTTCCAACAGATGAGCTGGTTGAAAGAACCTCGCTTTTATTGTGAGCCAACCAATCGCAGCGCGGAGATGTGATCCAGGGCTGAGAACGGGGCCAGCCAGTGTTTTGTGGTGTTTGTTGAGGTAACGACGAGTGAGGGATAAAATGTCATTGTTGTTCAGTGTGGATTTACCTGCTGAGCGGAGTTCACTCTGCAGTGCAGAGGCTCAAACTCATGTTCTTTTAAATGAAGCTCGGGAAAAAAACGTCATTTTACTTAACTCTGAAGTTAAATAAGTCTTTTAACCAATATTTAAAATCCATTTCTTTGGATTTATTTCTTTAGAAAGAAACTCCAGTGTGAACATTCGACAAAAAAACATTTTGGATTATCGAGAGAAAATGAATCATCTGAATTTTAGTCTTGAATCCATTTTCTATTTCTTAAATATGTTTATGTTATGATGTTTGCTTTCACGCTTGACTTCTGTAAATGCTTTGAGTAGTTCTGTTAATACTCGAGTTCTGTCATATCACATTTAATTCATTATTGTATTAAAACAGCTTAAATCTGGACATTTAACTCGTGGAAACCTGCTGAATCCCTGTGAAAGAGAATTTCTCCTAAAAAACAAAAGCATTCCCCTCCACTGTATTGTACAGGAGTCAGATGTTTAACAAGAAGTTTCTTAAAAGACTAAAAAACATGATGCACTTTAAGAAAGTGAACATTTCACTCTTCACTCTTTGCAGTACATGTTTGAGTCTGTGCAGGAAACACCTCATCCCCTGATGTGTTTTATCTTCACACTCGTAGAAACACTTTCCTCTGCTTCTCTGAACTTTCTCTCACTCCTTCTATTGTCCGTCCTGGTGCGGCCGCTCCATCTGGCACCCACGCAGCTTATCACACGTCATAAAAGATATTTGCTAATATTATGTGACCCAGGTCGAGCCTTGCGAAACACTCAACCCTGCAGTTTGCTGTTAAATATTGGACTCTACCCCATCCCTCCCCCTTTTCCACCACATCTCCCTCCCTCGCCGTCCTCTCTTCCTCTGCGTCCGGCCGGGCCCAAACAGATGCCCTGTGTTTGCTTCCCCTCGGGTCTTTCCTGATTGTGCCGGTCGTCTCTAATCTAGCCGTTAGACAGCAACCAAATTCACGAGAAAACCCATTTGACACACATGCTTCCACTTTTCTGTTTGTCGCCGCCCCCTCCCCTCGCCCCTCCACTCCGATGCGGGCTTAATTCGAACTATTTCACCTTCATTAGGCTGCATTTCAAGCTGCGGGGGCACAGGTAATGCAAAGCATTTCCCCCTTCAAATTGTAGGCCTGAGCGTTGGTTGCTAGGAAGTGGAAGAGCCTCAATTGCAGCCATTTCCTCGCCAGTGTACTGAGAGGTCCTATTACAGCGTTTAGGTCGAGGCAATTGGTGTCATTACAGGCAGCCAACTTCCCTCCACCAGAGTAATGAATTAGCCCGAGCTATTTAGGTTGTATGATTGCAGTTGCCAGGGGAGATGAGTATGAAGTGGGAGGATAATTATGGTATGTATCCCTGAGCGGATGTGTGCCGGTGTGGGCCAGCCACGGGGGCGGTTTCCACACTTGTGTAATGGCTTAATGTAGCTGCTGACAGGCAGCGGGGCAACATGGAAAGGTGCTACTGTGCTCTGCTTGTGGGCTGTGACTGACGGGCCGAACCACGCCAGCCCGCCTTAACCCCCGCGGCTCATTTACTTCAGACGACGCGGTCGGACGTCCAAATAGTCGGTTTATGCTCCGATCAGGTCACGAGGGACGAATGAAGCTGATTGAATATAATTGTTTGCAGATATTTGTTTGCTGAGAGCGTAACTTTATATTTTCGTTTGACTCTAACTTGTGCTCAAACTTCATTAGGAGCGCCGGTTGTTTACAAGCAGGTAAGGAAACCATTAACTCTTGGAACGCTGATAAATCAGCCCCGACAATAAAACAATAGTGAACTTTGATTGCGTGGCCCATTCATAAAAAAGCACTGATGTGCTGTAAAGCTGTTTTCAGACATGAGCTGCAGAGAATGTCCGCACGACAGAATCTGGACTTTCTACAGAGTTTGACTTTCACATAACGCAGCGGTAGAGCGTTCAGGTGGGGGGGGGGTTGCAGCATGCAGGAGGCAAGAAAAGATGGTTGGTCTGTATCACGTCTTCCTCAGCGTCCTCTCCGTGTACGGCTCCTCTCTGTCTATCTCAGATATTTGCATCCTTTTTGTTTTTTTTCCCAGTTCTGCTGCTACCCTACTCTGTTCAGACATTATCCAGAGGTTTGTATCAGGGGCTGGCACGAGGAACTCCAGAAAACCTCTGCAGCAACTGACTCAGACAATTTTCGCTCAGGAGATTGTCATCAGTGTGTGCGGTTGTCACATGCAGGAAGTTTTCACGTGATGCTCACAGAATGAAATAAACAAGCTTTGACTAACTTTTTAAAGAAAACCGAGGAGGCCAAAAGACAGGGTTTGCAGCCTGGAGCTGAATCGTGAGGGCCATGCGTGGCGGTGGTGGAGGGGGGATGTGGGGGTGGGGGGGGGCTTGTTTTCTCAATGGGAAGTCGAGCGCTGCAATAGGAACCCTGCCAAAAAAAGGGCTTCACCAAACAAAAGAGGCCGGTAGGAAATAATGCTGGTCGGGGCTTGTTGGGCCATCCACAGGCTCCTTTCCAAGCTGCTGTAACCAGCTATAAGTCTTTTTATGGGGACACCCTCGAACAGGGGGGCCCCCACTAAGGACAGGAACTTTTACATTTGTGCTTGAATGGGCCCGCTGCCAGGGGCCGAGTTCAAAGTGCACTCTCCAGTCATTCGATTTAACTACTTTATGTTTTTGATAGGCCGGCAGGAAAGCACAGGACCTGAAGTAATAGATTTTCATTCTTTGTTTTATTAGAATCCGGTCTGAACGGGACAAAACCTCGTAACACACACACACACACACACACACACACACACACACACACACACACAACCACACTCATGCACATTTAATTTCTGGCTCTCGACCGTTCCCTCTGCTTTTCCTCTCCGTCCTGTCGACCATATCTCACGTCAGTAAGAGCAGAAAAAGTGCAGCCTGATTATTTCTCAATACAAACACCATGTGTCTGCTGCATTCATACGTCCGTCACTGTCTCTTCCTGCAGCTGCTTTTCCCCTCAGTTTAATGAAATGGCAGCAGTTCCATGTGATGCAAGTGTGTCCAACTTTTATTTGTTCTCGGCAACTTGAAATACATTTCACTTGTTTTCTTTGGATTGTGAACTTTGCTATCGACAAGGTTTCTGTGCGCTCGGCTAATTCCACCTCCTTGGTTAGAGAGTGAGTTTGAAAAGTCCAAGTTTAACCACAGGAACCCTTTGAAACCAAACCTCTGCATATCACAAGCCCACCATGGTTTTTATCAACAGATGAAAGTAATTAATTTCACTTTAAAACGGAGAAAAAAGAAAATGTTGCTGCTTCATGCTGTAGTTTTCTTCTGCTGAATGCACCATTTGCAAAGCAGTTGCATATCTTGCCAGTGATCTGCACAAAGCCAAACTTTCATCCTTATCTCTGCCGGTGAGCCACTGTTGGTGGGATCCTGCCAAATGGCACCATGGAGCAGGAGAGTCGGCACAACGCCACCTGGTGGTCGTGAACTGGTTCAAAGCTCTGGCACAGGCCTCAGATGTCACTGACGACTTCAGGCAAGAAAATGAGATGTTCAAAAGCAGTTGTGCGGGAAGAAAGAATCAATGTCACATGATGAGATGTCTTTTAAATTATCCTTCAAATCCACAGAGTTAACAAAACTGCAGTGCTTCAGACCCTCCGACAGATTAAACTCACGTAAAGAAATTATACATTTCTAACACTGACTTTTGGTTAAAGATTTAAAGTTATGAGCCCAAACTGAGATCACAGCCACAACGTTATTGATCCTGCTGCACAGGAAATATCACACAGCTGTGTAAGAATATATGTTTCAGACACGCACTGCAGTCTGGACACTTTCCTGAAATCTTTTCGAAAGGTGTGTGTGTGTGTGTGTGTGTGTGTGTGTGTGTGTGTGTGTGTGTGTGTGTGTGTGTGTGTGT